GAACTTGCAAAGTAAATGGTGATGCAAACAGAAAGCTCTTTTCTTGTTAAATGAATGAAACTGGAAGCCCCGATGTGACTCCTCTGGTAATAATAGGGTTCCTTCAGGGTCACATTGCCCCCAGAAAAGAAAACATGTATGTCCTATCTTAAACCCCACCACAGTTGGGTTCATGCAGCTCCTGGCTCTTAGATCTAGGGGAGCTCCCAGAGATGGCTCTGGCTTGGTCATGTCAGTACAGACCTCAGCAGTCCCCCATGTCCCATCTTTGGCTTCCAATATCAGTCCCAGCCTTGCATTTTAAGCAGTGAGGCTTGGCTCTCTACCAGAACAGTCTTATTTCACTCTCTGGCCTAGTCTGCTCTGGGTTGCTGAATTAGCTCACCAGGCAAGGTCTCGCCTCTTGCGTGTCGCTCTTGGGATGGCCTCTTTGGCTAATATTTTCTCCATCTATGCCCGTGGCCTCCAGGTCTGACCTCTCTTGTCAAATGGTTTAATGCAATCACACACCATGATCTCATACGTCCAAAGCAAGTCATGGCCAGCAATGTAGCACACAAGTCCCAGGACGCATGCACGCACGCACGCACGCACACACACACGCACGCATGCACGCACGCACGCACACTCCCACACACCATTCTGTGCATGACCATCCTGTCTATTCCCTTCTCCTCAATTTTACTTCCTGTCAAGCTTGGGGCAATAATAACTCCCTCATAGGGGCTCGTTGTAAGGTTGAAACAGCAGAGATCTGGGTCCTCATGGAGTTTACCTTTTTGGTGGGGGAGACACAGGGAGAAAAGCAACCCACTAAAGTGACTGATTACTAGGTGTAATGAGCATGATGAAAGATGCAAGTAAGGAGCTGAGCGCCAGCATGGAAGGGCTTTTGGACGGCCAGTGGAGGCACCTTTGAGGAGGGGACATTTAGGCTGAGGCTTAAAAGAAGCAGGTGCTCCATCTGGCAAAGAATAGGAGGAAGAAGATTTTAAGGGGAAGAAGACCAGGGACAAGACAGCAAAGAGTGGGATGCGGGAAAGGAAGAAAGGAAGAAGAGAAGGTCATTGTGGGTGAGGCATAAGGGGCGAGAGAGACAGAGATGGGGTCACGCTGAAGGGCTCAAAGCAGGCGCAGCCAGGTGGTCTTAGGTTGTATTGCAACAGGAAGCTATGGGTTTTGAGCAGGGTAATGATGCAATCTGATTTATGCTTTAAGAAGATTGCTGGACTCTTAATGGAGAAGGAGGTGGAGGAAGGAACAAATGGAAACAGAGCCACTAGACAGCTGGGGCATGCCATCTAGGAAAAAAGATAGCGCTGTCCTGGTCTGGGAACACGGCAAGAAACAAACACATCCAAGATAAACTTTGCAGGTAGAATCCATAGGACTTGCTGGAGGCTGAGGGAGAGGTTATGTCTGGAGCAGGTGGGTGGATGGCATTGTGATTCTCTGAGACATGGAGGATTGGGAGGGTGCAGGGTTCGGGGGATCATGTTCAATGGTCAGCGAAACATCCCAAAAGAAACGTCAGTAGGCAGGTGACTATTAAAGTCTGAACCTCAGTAGAGGCGGCCCAGGCTAAATACAGAGACTAGGGAATAGTCAGAGTGTAGATGGTGCTTGAGGCCATGAGCCCAGGTGAGATGAGAGAGAGAAGAAGGGAAACCAGCAGAGGAGACTAAAGAAGGCCTGAACCGTTGGGTAAGAGATCAGTGAGGGGGAGTCCTTGAGTAGGGAAGATGGACCGGGACCGTCCTGAGCAGGGGAGGAGATAAACTCTTCCTTACAGTAACGCAAGGGAGAGTGACAGGACAAGTGTGTGGGCACGGGCGGGCTCGGCACTGGGCACACGATGGTCATCCAGTCTGATTGCTTTCTTGTCCCCACTGGCCGAGGGTCAGTGGAGGGAGGAGGCGGGTGAGTCTGAGTGGAGGGAGAGGATACGAAATCGATGCCCGGGACTGGGAACCGGGAGCCACCTGAAGAAACACATGCAACGTCGAGATCCTTGGCCATTAATTTAAAGTGATATTATAGACACCCGATGTGTGACTCAAATTCAATACTAGACATAGATTTGAAAAAAAATCTGACCTCATGCTGATCTGGCCTTATGAAACAAGTGAGTTAGCTGGTGCTCATGACTCTGCCAAAAGATTTCTTTTTCCTTTTTACCATCAAGAGTCACTGCGTTTTACTTCAAAATATCTTATATATGGCAAACAATATGGTTGAGAGAATTAGGAAAAGAAAAACTTAAAAAGGCTAGAAATCAAAGTAAATTAAAAAGGTTTGGATATACTGGTCTATGGGAAAATAGGATATAATTACAAAAAAAAACACATTTTTTTTTTCCTGACTTAAACCTTTTACGAAACACAAGGGCAAAGATTACCCAAAACAGGAATTCATGTACTTAATAACTGATGATTTGGCATCTTGAAATCATGGGTCAAACTAACAACCAAAGTCGTTGACATCTATACCATTGCTGTGTTTTCGCAGGCGTGTAAAGATCCTATTGCAAACCCTCCAACCACAAGTCTCAATGTCTGTGTGTTGCTTCCTGCCCCGTAGGGGACTTGCCCACCTAACTACGTCCTATCACCCTGGTAACAAAGCCTTGCACCCAAGCTGTCCCCTCCCTCCTCCTGCCTCCTGGTGCTTCCTCGTGTGTCCCCGTGTGGTGTGACGTGCTCTTCTCTTGGGAGCTGTTAAGTAATACAGTTCTTTCAAAGGCAGTTGTCTCTGTGCCTGTCATCTTACCAGGCCTGATTAAAACGTATCCTGGGCACATTTCGAAATAAATGCAAAGGACGGGCATGCGGAAGGAGAGGTTCGCTCTCACCAAGCTGACGGGATGTGTGTTACGACATCCTTGCTCCTGCTTGCTAATACGAGTCCGAACGGGTGCGGGATGCCACCTGAGGCTGGCTTTCACTGAAATGTGCCCCTTGGGAGTGAGGTTATGGGAAGAAAGCTGGCAGCCTCCACCCACGCCAGACTACTGGGGACTCCCAAATGCTACCCTAAGGAACTTGTAGTTGTGCGTGACAAAAGGAGCTTTAGCCAGTTCTTCACGCATGTCACCTCCTTTGTGTCGTCTTTGAATCATTTTCCTTCTTGGCACTTTATGTGCGTGGAGCCTGGTCTTACTCAGTGTGCCCCTTAGAGGAAAAAACTACTGTTTTCTGTACTAAACAACTGTTTGAGTTCCAGTACTAAACAAACAAACAAACAAATACATTTATTATTTGTTTATTTTTTAATAACAGTTGGCATACAAGAGTTTCAGGCGTACCACATAGTGATTAGACATTTACATACCTTACAAAGTGATCACCACGGTAAATCTAGTATCCATCTTCTACTATTCATAGTTATTATATAATATTATTGACTATATTCCCTGTGCTATAAATTACTTCCTCGTGATTAATAATTTAATAACTGGCAGTTTGTACTTCTTAATCTCCTTCACCTTTTCTGCCCATCCCCCACCCCTCCCATCTGTCAACCATAAAGGATAAAAATCATATGATCGGATCAGTAGACACACTGGGTTTCTGCGGCGTGCCCGAGGGCAGAGCGTTGTGCATAAAGCAAAGCTGGGTACAGGCAGCGCTGTCAAAGAGTCACTGCTGGAGTCCTCAACATCTGGGCTTTGGTCCTGGTTCTCGTTCTGCCCAGGGCGTCCCCGTGGGTCTCTGTTCCCATATTCGGATGAGGACGGGGTCCGCGTATTCCCTGGAAGCGTCTCCAGCTCTCTAGCAGAACTCCCTTCTCTTTCCTTTCTTTCTGTGTTAAAGAGCTTGGAAAAGCCAAAGTGAGGCCCCCGGCATGTCTGAGATGGTATGGGGTACCGGCCCCCCTCAGAAAAGGAGTCTCTGGGTCTGACGGCTGCAGAAGACACCCTTGGTCATGAAAGGTGAAGTGCAAAGGGCCAGAACAGCCCGTTCGGCAGAGGATGGGAAAGGATGGCAGAGTAGCCTTTGCTTGGTACCCCTGTGGCCCACTGCACCACGTGTGGCTCTGAGGAATCAGAATAAGGGGGCCAGGCCATTGTCACTCCAAAGCAGTAAGGAGGAGGCTGAGCACCCAGAGGGTTGTGTATGCGACCGTGTCAGAGCTAGGAAGGCAGCCAGCCTTGACAAAGTCTGGAAGGAAAACCAAGCCGTGTACTCAGAAAGTTCTTCACAACCGACACTTTAACGCTTCATCTTCCTGTCTGAGAAATTCAGCTGATTTAACAGCACCTCCCACCAAACTCAGACTCCTTTTCTTGGCCAGCAACACCCTACAGGGTCTGACCGTGTACCTCTCTGAGCTCGGTTCTGTCCCTCCAACATGCCTGCTCATTCCTGACTCAGCCTTTGTGCTCACAGAAGGTCCCCCTCACCGCCCCATCATACTCTTTCCAATCACCCTGTTCAGCGCCTTCCCAGCACATACCATAACCTGTAATAATCATGTTTATTAATATGTTCAATTTCATTGTCGTGGTGGTCTTTGACCCTACCCAGATCCAATAAGCCAGGGACCTTGTCTATCTGATTCATTTCTAACGCATTTTAGGACCCTGGAGGCACATGAGAGCACCATTGCTGGCCAACTTCACATTTTAGGTTTATTAAATTTATTACGGTAATTCTTCAATAGGGGTGACCGGTCTGTATGTTGCGATTCTCGGAGGCTCTAAGGAATAGAGATATGTCAACCTGGAAACATTCCATGAAGCTAGTTTACCTGAGATATTTGTGGGAAAGAGCGCTGACTTGGGGTTCATGGGCTTTGGTTTGTGACCGGATCTTTGCTGACTTTTGATGATTGAGATTCAAAAGTGGCATCTGGTTGGAGTGTACAGCTATGCTGGAGTCAGGGGGACCCTCAGGACAGGAAGGGGCACATCCTAATGTCACACGGGGAGCATTAGGCAACGTGGTTTGTTATTTCCTGTGTAGTATCGAGATGTCATCAATCAACAGGCCTTTTTCCGTCTAGGATTTGGTGGGATTTTCAACTTTCCCTAGGAAGAGCACGGTCTCCGTGGCTCTGTCGATCACTAGCAGCAGGAAGGATCTGTTAAAGAGGACGGACTGAGAAGAGTTGTCCTTTGACCGGAGCGTGAGCTTGGTGGCCGTGGCAGCTGCAGCCTCAGTACCCTCCTCACTGATGGTTAGCACAGCCTTGTGGGCAAACTGCCAAGGAAAAAACAAACATCAGAGCCCCTAGAGAGACACTTTCTTAAAACCGAGTTTTGGTATTTTGCCCAGGAACGGGGACACCCCCTCCAAGAAGCTTCAGGGTCGCAGTATACGTCAAATGCCCGGCGTGAGATCTGCTCGGTCGATGGTAGCTGTTGTTGCCAGTAGTCAATCGGCTGTCAAGCATGGAGTTGTTACAAATAAGGACCAGAAAGAGCTAGGTTTGAGGCCTGGTTCTGCCTCTTACTGCTGCAAAGGTTATTTAGGGGCCGTGTGCTTCACTTTCCAAATTTATGAAAGAGTGATAATAATCGCACGTGTGCCATAAGGCTATTTAGTGAATTAAAGGAAATCAAAGTATGTATGTCATAGTAATTACTACAGTTATTGCATTGGAGACATAGGTTAGGTATTACTAAGTACTGGATTCCTTCTTGATCTTCTGCAGAAGAGATTCTTAACCTGAGGTTCATGTACTACTAAGCTTTAGGGCACCTGTGAACAATTACAGCCATCGTTTTCATATGTGAACATAAGCACATCATGGGACAACGTCCATTACGCCCATCATATTCCAGTGGGATTTCTCTGCATTTCTTCCCTGGACACCAATGACAAAGGTCCCCTTCAGTGTCCCAGGACCATTTCTGACCATTATCTTCTTTTATCGAAATAAATTTTAGGTCACGAATCAGAGACCCACACACAGACAGGGGCTAGACATGTACCCTCAAAGAGATGAGGAGACCTCTTGTAACAGCATAGGGCCCACGGGGAGCCTGGAGGGTACACTCTGGCTAAAAGGGGTGCTGATGGCTCAGCCCTGGCCAATGGCTGTTTGGACTCACTGTTGCCATGTAGGAACTGGGCTTGATGAATTGCTTCAAGAGAATCAGAAATCTAGAATTTTAGGCCCAGTATCCTACATTTTAGAAGTCAGCTCTCCCTTTTCCTTTCTTTCTCTTATTTTTTAACACTGCAGGCCAAACACAACATATCTACAGGATACTGATGGCTCATGGGCAGCCACATTATGACTTTAGCGTGAGGTCCTAGGCTCCGGGGAGGTGAGGTCGAAAGCCAGGTGGGCACCTGCTCATCCGCAGCAGGTGTTGGGCAGCGGTGCTGCCTGCCAGGGGCAAGCACGATTCTCAGAGAACTGTGGTTGGACCTTAGGGACATTTGTTTGATGAGGGATAACGGCTGCCTGTGTGTCAGAAGTATGATGGCCATAAAGCCACAGCCCCAGCAGCCATGACCTCTGGCCTTACTCCTGCCACAGAGAAGTCACTTCACGTCACAAAATTCCGTTCCCTAATCAGTGAGATGAGAGTGCTCGACTGGTCAGTCGCTACAGGCCCTTCCAACTGAGGCTCTCATGTAAATATTCTCATCGACCAACTCACTTTGGAAACCTTCAGGGAGTTCCTCTTTGTGATTCCAGAAAAATCGGCATTTTTGTCGAAGGCATCCCGGATGCCCATCTTTGGGAGGATGGTTACCAGGTCGTAGGAGGTAGAAATGGAAAACTTTGGAATGAACACCTCTATCCACCTGTAGGGAAGGAGAAGGGAAGAGATGAAGTCACAAGCCCTGGATCCCCATCTCTGCTTCTTGGCGGCATTTCAGAAGATCGTTTTACCACCAGGCCTTGCTGGTTGCATCTAAAGGGGTCAACACATCCCAGACAACCAACCCAAGATGCTCTGGAAGTCAATCTTCTGGATGAGCAAGTCCAGCCCTGAAGATAAATGAGATGAAAAATGAGGCCCCTGATGAAGTAGGAGACAGGACAGAGCAAGAGAGCTCATGGCGGAGGCAAATGGGAGGCACTGGGCAGTAATGGAAGCACGTCTACCACCCCCGGCCCAGAATGCCTCCCATTAGCCCTTCCTGAGACTAACTCTGCCACTCCCAGAGAGCAGCAAAGTCTAATAGAACTTTCTGAAAAGTTAGAAATATTCTACATCTGTGCTGTTCGATATGGTACCCACTGGCCACAAGTGGTTATTGAGCAACTTGAATGTGGCTAGTACCAACCAAGAGTTACATTTTTCATTTTATTTAATTTAAATTAATTTAAATTTAAATAACCGCACGTGGCTAGCATCTACTAAGTTGGACAGCACGATCCTAGAGTTTGGCACATTTTTTTCTTCCTCTGCAATGGTTTTCCTGGACCAGAAGTGAACAGCCCACACTTATCGAGCATTTACTATGTGCTAGGTGTTGTCTCGTGAATTTTATCTCCATTTTAATAACAGTAAAACTTAATTTCAGCGCTTTGCCCAAGGTCATGTACTTAGTAAGTCACAGAAATGAAAGCACGAAAGTGTTAGACGGGCACTTCGGTCCTCATTGACGGACTTCTTGTGACATCTAGTTCAACGGACAGTGCTCACTTCCCTGATGCTGTCTCCTGAGCTGGACGGGCCATCTCGTTCTTCTCTCCGTTCTGTCTCTTTACAGACGCCCCCGCCCCCATCGCCAGTCTCTGAGCTGGCATCTCTTCCTCTATGCAGCCCCTGAAGAAACCTCTGAGATATTCTACGGTGTCCTTTGATCCCCAACTTTGCATCTTCACGAGTGCTGTTTCCTTTACCAAAAATGCCTTTTCTAAGCCTCTGTCCTATCCATATCTTCATGTTGTATCCATACTTTTGGCTCAAATGCACCCCTTCCTTGAAGCCTTCCCTCGATCCCAGCTGAAACAGATCTCTCTTTGCTCAGAAGCTCCTCAGCCCTCTGCCAACCCTCCCCCAGGCATCGATCTTTGTCTTTCTTTAATTACGCTTATCTCTGATCTGTTTTTTCTTTCCTCTTAGACTATGAGCCTCTGGGAATGATGCCCACACGGCCAAGAGAATATTGCTAAGAGATCATACATAAGACTTTGACACTCCTTTTTATCTTATGGTTAACATTCCTCTGATACTCTCCATCATTATGTAATTATAGAACAAATAATAATGTTACTATCAGCTAACATTTATTGAACACTTACTATCTCCCCAGCATTCTTCTCAGTACTTCATAAATATTAACTCATTTTATCTTTTCAGCAACCTATGAGTTCAATATTATTATCCTCATTTTGCAGATGAGCATCAAAGCTTTTTTGTTTATTTTTATGCACTTGTGCCATGGGATTAAATATCAGATTGGTTGATAGACTGAGCTCTGCTAGCACAGAAGAGCTATAGTGACATGATAAGTTTGCAGGGACATGTTAGCTACATGGCTTTGGGGCATTCACTTTCTCTCTTGAAGTCTCTGTTCCCTTATCTTTGAATGGTGGGATAACATTCCTCATCTGTCAGATGATTGTGCAGTTCAAGTGAGAACAAACACGCATGCAGAGCACCAAGCTTACTGCCCAACATACAGTTGGTCTCGCTTTACAGAAGCAATTATTCAACAGCCACTATCACGGTCTCTCTCCCACTCTCGGATGTACACCATCACCGGGCTCAGGCCGCTGCAAATTGACACAGATGCCCACCTCTTCTGGAGTGAGTGGCTCCACCTCCTCAATGTTCTAGATGACAAAGCTTGTTCCAGCTGCTTCATCTTGCCCTGGCCGGGGAGGACAAAGAAGGCCACGGTGTCTCCACTGTAGTCCATCTGCAGCACAGAGCAATTCAGCTGCGGATCCACCACGAAAGAAAATCGCTCCGTCTGGTGCATCATTGGGACCATCACCGTCCTCTTGCCCACCAGGAATGGGTATCTCTGAATCGTATACATAGGATCAAAGGGCTTCTCCCACTTGGCTAGCACAAAGAAGAGGAGAGAGGTCTTTATGTCACATTGCAATTAGTGAAGTGAAGACAGCAAAATGGTGAAATTCTGAAAACTCTCTCTTCCGTAAAATCAGTGAGAGAACTGTCAATAATAGTTAATAGAAATTAACAATGGTTAATAAAAATCAACCAAATGCTTTCAGCAAACTGGGAAACTTAAAGAAAAATAGCTAAATTTTGGTAAGAAGAGTGAACTTTGTGGTATTCTAACATGCTCTATTTCCATTCCCCACCCCCTCTAACTCTTCAGTAGCCTTGAGAAGTAATAGCCTGAACTTGCAATGAAATCCAGCAACCTGACAGCCACTGAAAGGGAAAAAGTGGGGTGGCTGGAACCCTTTCAAAGACTCACTCCGAAAGAGTTTTCATTATTCAAGCTGTCTTGTACTTCTCTGGAAGGCATCATTTATAGAGCTGCCTGTATTTGATCTGACTTGGAACTCAACCAAAGCAAAAAGCCATTTCCTCAGGGAAAATTAGTCAAAAATAGTTATCGGCAGTGAGAAATTTTGCAGCTGCTTGAGACAGTGGATAATACTTAGGGAAAACAATCAACTAATCAAAAAGCTTAACAGGACAGGCTGAGGGTGACCGTAGGGTGCCATCTGCAAAAATGACAGAGTAAGGACCTCTGTCTGCATATTTACCCTTTCACAAAGGCAACAAGAAAAACTGGCAAAATAGTCAGAGAAAGCTTTTTCAGAACTCTGGAAATTAACCAAAGGCTTGCAGCAAACTGGGGAGAGTTTTTCGAGAAAAAATGGTTGAATCTCAATGAGAACAGTCAATTCTGAGACATGTAAACTTGCTCTAGTCTCATCCTCCACTCTCTAGCTCAGCAGTAGCCTTGAAAAATAGCAGACTGTATTCCCAGTACCAGAGGGGGAGGAACAGAGCTGAAGAAATGTTAAAGCCTTATTCCCAAAGAACTGTAATTATTTTATCTGTCTGAGAGTTTCCTGGAAGACCCCACTTACAAGGTTGATTAAAGCTCACTCAGTGCTAAAAGCCTTCTCTCCCAGGGTCAGGGAGGATTTGTTAGAAAAAATTACAACTGAGTGTTTTAGCTGAATGGTTACCTGGATGAGGATAGCAGATGGGACAAACAATAGACTAATCAAAAAAATCTAAAAGAAAAAGCTGAGAAAAAAAAAAATGGAAAGTTCCAGTATACCCAGGGCATTTAGAGTCTGTATTCAAATGTAAAGCTGTACGCATATTTGAAAAAAAAAAAGAAATAGGAAAAGGCTGTACGTTCTTACCTCTGGGCTGTCCTTGAGAGTCTGCACAGCAAGTGGAGGCTGAATCAGAGTTATAATTTGCCTCTTTGAGTGTCAATGGCATGCCCCATCATGCACACAAAGACTTTGTGCAAATGCACTGTTCCAGGCATTTAAGACACCTCTGCTCAATCATAGCTGACCATTTAATTAACCAAGAAGAGACTTAAGTGGCCACATATACCAAAGTATAGATTTTAAAAAATTAGTTCAGAAATATTACTTAACAAACAATTACTGCAGCAAACGACCACAACAAACCCTGGGGAAGGGGAAGAATCTGACGTTCAGAGTTGCCTCATTACATTCTTTAAAAAATCCAGCTTTTACAAAAAACATGAGGCATGAAAATAAAGTATGGACCATAAACAAGGAAAAAGCAATCTACAAATATCAGAAATGAAAGGAGCACCACTATAGGTCCTATGGACATTAAAAGGAAAATAAAGGAATACTATGAAGAACTCTTATGTTCACAAAGTTGATAACGTAGATGAAATGGTCCAATTCCTTGAAAGACACAACTTGCCAAAACTTACATAAGTAGTAATAGACAATGCGATTAGGCCTATATCTATTTTTTAAAAACTGACAATAATTAATGACTTTTCAAAATTGAAAGTACTAAGTCCAGATGGATTCACTGGTGAGTTCTGCCGAACATTTAAGAAAGAAATTATGCCACTTCTCAACAATCTCTTTCAGAGGAAAGAAGCAGAGAGAATACTTTCTAACTCGTTCTATGAAGTCCGCGTTACCCGAATCCCAGAACCAGACAAAGATATTATAAGAAAAGAAAACTACAGACCCAGAGCTTTCATCAATATTGATGCAAAAGTCCTCAACAAAATATTAGCAAATCAAATATGGCAAGGTATAGAAAGAATTATACGCCATGACAAAATGGGGCTTATCCCAGGTTTGCAAATTTGGTTCAACATTCTAAAATCAATTAATGTAATCCATCACATAAATAGGCTAAACAAGAAAAATTACATAATCATATCAATAGATGCAGAAAAAGCAAGAAAAATTACATAATCATATCAACAGATGCAGAAAAAACATTTGACAAAATTGAGCACCAACTCATGATACTCAGTAAACTACGAATAGAATGAACACCAACTCATGATACTCAGTAAACTACGAATAGAACTCTCCCAACTGATAAAGAATATCTACAAAACAAAATAAAACAAACAAACAAAAAACCCTTATAGCTAACATAATACTTAATGGTAAGAAACTCAAATCTTCCTCCATTAAGGTCAGGTACAATGCAAGGATGGCCCCTTTTACCACTCCTTTTCAACACTGTACAGGAAGTTCAAGCTAATGCAATAAGACAAGAAAAGGAAATAAAAGGTTACAGATTGTGAAGAAAGAAATGAAACCGTCTTTGTTTGTAGATGACATGATTGTCTATGTAGAAAATTCAAAAGAGTCAACAAAAGAATTCCTGGAACGAATAAGTGATTATAGCAAGGTTGCAAGTTACAAAAGGTTAATATACAAAAGTCAATCAATTTTCTATATATTGGTAATGAACAAGTAGAATTTGAGATTAAAAACATAAAACCATTTACAGTAACATCCATAAAATGAAATACTTAGGTATAAATCTAACTAAATATGTATAAGATCTATATGAAGAAAACTACAAAACTCTGATAAATGAAATCGTATAACTAAATAAATGAAAAGATATTCTCTGTTCATGGATAGAAAGACTCAATATTGTCAAGATGTCAGTTCTATATACAAAAGTCAATCAATTTTCTATATATTGGTAATGAACAAGTAGAATTTGAGATTAAAAACATAAAACCATTTACATTAACATCCATAAAATGAAATACTTAGGTATAAATCTAACTAAATATGTATAAGATCTATATGAAGAAAACTACAAAACTCTAGTTTTTGTCTAGAAGACAAAATAGTAGAAAAAAGATATTCTCTGTTCATGGATAGAAAGACTCAATATTGTCAAGATGACAGTTCTTCTCAACATGATGTATAAATTTAATGAAATCCTAATCAATACCCTAAGAAGTTATATTGTATGTACCAATAAACCAATTCTAAAGTTTATATCGAGATGCAAAAGACCCAGAATAGGCAACACAATATTGAAGGAGAAGAACAAAGTTGGAATAAGTAACAGTGTATGCAAAATAATAAATCTAGACACAAGCCTTACACCCTTCACAAAAATTAACTCAAAATTGATCATAGACCTAAATGTAAAACACAAATCTATAAAATACCTAGAAGACAAAATAGTAGAAAACCTAGGTGACCTAGGATATGGCAATGACTTTTTAGATATAATACTAAAGGCATGATACATAAAAGAGATAATTGATAAGCTGGGCTTCATTAAAATTCAAATTTTCTGCTCTAGAAGACAATGTCAAGAGAATGAGAAAATGAACCACAGACAGGAAGCAAATATTTTCAAAAATGTGCATTTGATAAAGAACTGTTACCCAAAATATACTAAGAACTCTTAAAATTTAGCAATAGAAAGCCACTGGATTAAAAAATGAGCCAAAGACCTTGACAAGCATCTGATCAAAGAAGATATAGAGATGGCAAATAAACATATAAAAAGATGTTCTACATCATATGCCATCAGGGAAATGCAAATTAAAACAACAATGAGATACCACTACACACCTATTCAAATGGCCAAAATCTGGAACAGTGACAGCACCAAAGGCTGGCAGGGAGGTAGCAACAGGAACTCTCATTCATTGCTGATGAGAATGCGGGATAGCGTAGGCCCTTTGGAAGAAAGTTTAGTGGTTTCTTTCAAAACCAAACATACTGTTGCCTTACAATCCTGCAATCATGCTCCTTGGTATAAGGAATGAAAAATTTACCTGTTGGTTTTCCCTGATAGGTTTTTGAGAGCTTGAGTTAACGTTGCATTTAAACAGACTTTCCAATTAAAGATTTTTTTATTTTGTTTTTAAATAAAATACATCTGACTGGTAAAAAAAAAAAAAATAAAAGCTATGTTCACAGAAAGATCTTCACTTATTATATGATTCTATTTATATGAAAGGTCCAGTATAGGCAAATTTATAAAGACAGAAAGTATATTACTTTTTGCTGGAGAAAGAGC